TTGGCTTTAGGTTTTCTATCTTGAAAGTGGTAATAATAATAATTTCCAACCACCTATCTCATCCGGATATTGCGTGAATTAATGGGGTCATGTTTGTAAGGTCCTAGAAAATTCTCAGGGGAGAAAGTTCTACCACTTTTGCAATTCTCACTTGTAATGTTTTAGAACTGTAGAAAAGAAGGGCTGCATTTAATCAGGCCATTATTACAAAGGGATGTTCTTTGCTTCCTTAAAACTAAGGAATGGATACCTTTTGAAGTCAGACCTTCTCATTACTATGGAACCTCTGATTCTCTTTTGTTTATGCAAGAACTTGGGACCCCTGAGGCAAACCAATCTTTCTCCTCTATTCAAACAATCCACGGTGTTCTAAGGAACATACCATGATTTCATGGCCACAGGGAATGAAATATTACTCAGATATTTCTGCTTCAGTAATACATAGATTGACTTTTGGGATCCAACACACTTGGGTTGAGTCGTGTTTCTGGCCCTTCCTGGCTGGGTGACTCTGAGTAAATCTCTCGGTCCTCCTGTCCTTCAGGAAAGTTGGGAGACTACCTTTAGGCAAAATGCTTATCACACTGCCCTGCACATTGTAGGTTCTCAGGAAACAGTACCTAGATCAATAGTACGAGTAATAGTAACTTCATTCTCCAGTGCCACAAAGAATTATAATAAATCCTAGTTCTCATTAACCAAAACCTAACTCATCAGAGCTTGTGCTCAACCAGAACCAGGCTGGCCACGCCATCCATTAGTCATACCCTCATTTTGTGAGCACTTCAGATTTAGGAAAAGGACAAATCAAAAGGAAATGACTCTGTGTCAGGGATGTATGCAAATTTTCATAGTGTGTTCTTCTCTCCTTACCGATCTAGCCCAGTCTCCTGACTTACCAGGTCCAATACTTCAGAGGAGCTCTGAATAGCTGACATTGACTGAGAAGGAACTACATGACAAGCATTGTGCTAAACACTGCAAATATATTTTCCCACTTAATAGTCACAGCAGCCTAATGAGGTAGGTACTGTTAGTAACCCCTTTTACAGGAAGGTCAGGGAACCAGCGTTTGGTGGGATTGTTAACCAGTGCCATATGGTTATTGAACAGAGAAGCCGGATTTCAATCCTCACTCTGACTTCAGGGTCCCATTCTAACCCAGTGCTGTCCAACAGGAAGTAATGTGAGCCATGTACATAATTTTAAATTTGCTAGTAGCCATATTTTTTAAGCAGTCAAGAGAAGTGGGAGACATTAACTTCAATTATGTATTTTCTTTAATCCAATATATTCAAAATATTGTCATTTCAACATAATCAACATAGAAATTATTAATGAGGTATTTTACAATCTTTTTCCATAGTAAGGCTGTGAAATTCAGTTTATACTTTGCACTTATGGCTCACCTTAGTTTGCACTAGCCACGTTTGAAATGCTGAACCGTCCCATGAGACTCACAACCACTGTCCTGGAGTATAACCACTGCACCACTGAGCGGAGTCTTTGAAGATTGTGTCATCCAAGTTTCTCACACTGTATTTACTGAAGAAGAAACTAATAGGAGTGGCCGGTTAGCTCAGTTGGTTAGAACGCAGGCTCATAACACCAAGGTTGCCAGTTTGATCCCTACATTGGCAGCTAAACTGCACCCTCCACAACTAGATTGAAACAAATACTTGACTTGGAGCTGATGGGTCCTGGGGAAACACACAGTTCCAAAATAAAATAATAAATTAAAATAATAAAATAAAATAAAAATATTGAAAGAAACTAACAAGTTTTCCATTTTTAACAAGGGAGACAAATGGGGAGGTTTAGAAGCATAGCAGGGCTTTCACCTATTAATTTTTTAGTCTCAATTTACCAAACAATTAAGTTGCCCTCAAAGGCGAGCTCCTTCCTGGAACATCCTGCTATCTGAGTTTTTACTTTGTTATATATAATGTGTACCTTTATACAAGTTGGTGCGAACAAATAGCTGTGGAAGGAATGCTAGACTGAATGAATATATTCATTACCATGAAAGAGAAAGATCGCGCAGGCAGGGAAGACGTGTGAGCTCCCTCAGGGGAGGAACTCCATCTGAGCTGTGCCCACCTCTGCAGCCCTGCGTGGGGCACAGTGCCAGGGACACCGGAGGCTTCCAAGTGATATTGATTTGTGGAATAAATTGATGAATCCACATGGGAAAATCGAATCACTTAAAATGTGTTTCCCAACGGGCAGAGTGACTCTAAGGCCCTTCTTCCTCGCCCCTGAGTATTTGGATTTCAATACCTCAAGTCAACCCCTGATGGATGTTAAATGTTTCCAAATGGAACAGCATTGGAGGGACCACAGAAATCAAGAGTCTACTTTTAAAAGGTAGTTGCTGACTTTCCCACTGATAGTCTCAAATATGTTGAAACCAGATGTCCCCTAGACATAGGTATAGGTCACAGGCTGCATCATCCATCACTCAGCCCCAGAGTGTTTTGTCTCCAAGGGAAATCCCTCCCATACTCTTTTTCTTGCCTGGTCCTCACCAGCTTATCCTCAAAGCACCGCCTGACTCACAAATGGGCTCCCCTCCCTCTGTGCACCATTTATACATTAGTGTGTGCTCCTCATGGTTTCTTCCTGGCCTGACAAGACGTTCTGTCTCAAGGAAACTGAGGATGGTTTCAGATCAAATCTCCTTTAGTCTCTAGGGGGACTGGTCCAAACACCAGCACTGAACAGGTATCTGCCGTTTAACCTTATGACTTTGCCCTTTTTAACTTAAATATTAATTTCCCTAAAACAGCCAAACATTGTTTATTGTCAGAATTCTTTGAATTGAGTGTGATACAACTCAACTCAAACTGATTTCATGGAAAAAAGGCAAGGAGGGTAACATGAGCCTCAGGCACATTTGGATCCAAGGTGAGAAGGCCAATGTCTCATTTTTTTTCTCTCTATTTCTGGGCTCTTCTTAATTCTATACTGCCTTCATTTTCAACACTGTTTATGCCATGTGGTCCCTTCCAACTCCTCACCTAGAAACTCCACACTTATAGCCAACCAGGTTAGCAACCTCAAAAAAAGACCATCAACCATTGGTCTAATCTGTGTCACATGACTCTTCTCTGATTGGCCAGGCCTGAGTCACATGCTCATACCTTGAATCATAGGGTGAAACCACCCCCACCAAATCAGCTGGCCTGGAAGGAGAGTATAGGTGAATCCTCAGAGGGCAATCAGGTGGTCTTACCAGAAGAAGGAGGGAGCAATGCTGGACCAGCAAATGCTCTAAGTGTCCAGATGAGCACTGCGATGACATATGTTTCCAGTGCTGACATAGTCCTTTATCTTCTTTCTTTAATAACGGGTCTGCTTTTCCTCTTTGCTGTGACTCCCACATACCTCACCGCATAGACTTAATAAGCATTACACTGCTCGTCATTATTGCACGTGCCTAGATACCCTGCTTTTTTGCGAGCCCTTGAGAACAGTAGCCATGGCTCATTCATTTCTGCATCTCCAGTGCTTTGCGCAATTCCTGGCACATAGTAGGTAGCTGGAGAAAGTTTGACACATAAAAGGAAAAAATAGATGGACTTCCTGGGAATCAAACTCCTGGCTTGAGGGACCCCATTCAAAGGTATGTTTGTAGTTTTATGGCCCAAGTGAAAACTCTCCATCGTAAACAGGATGTTTGGAAGCAAACTGAAGAATGTACTATTATGAGAATGCACAGCTGGGTTCAAAACAAACAAACAAACAAACAAATAAACAGAAGCAATCAAATTTTGGCCTTGTGACCACTTCATCAGGTATATGGCAATAGGAAAATGATTCTTCTCATGGTGACCCACTGGGTGAGAATCAACCCTTCTCCCTTGTTGGACCCCCTTAAGCCTTCTAGGGTGGCCAGTCAGCACAAGGACTCCCTAATGCTGAACTTGATTCTAATGCTCTTTAGCCCTGTTCTAAACCCACTGAACTAAGAGGCCACAGGCCCACTGACCTCACCCCAGCAGCAGTAACATCCAGGATACGTTTACAAACACATTCGGGGAGCTTCCATCTCACCTATACATTTGGGACTTTCTTATAGAGGCTGTTGAGGTCTAGCATCTAGAAAGTGCCTAGTAATTATCTGTTGACTGAAATGGACAAGCCAACATGATCTGGCATATACAATAATAATTTTATGAATAAATGAATGGTATACCATAAATGCTCCTTAAATGAGCGGCTGATGATCCACAGTTGATGATCCATGAATATATGTTGAATGAGCCAACAATACAATGAATGAATGAATGAATGAGTGACCTATCAGTCATGCCTACAGCCATTACTTTCCACATGTGTTACGCTGCTCTTTGGTGTATTCCTTTTAGTTATAATTCAATCCCAACAAATGGACTCTCGAAATTTATCGTTTGTTTCTATTTTCTATTGTTGGATTTTGAAATAGATGATGCTATCATGTGGATTGAGTTTCATTTTAAGTAGCAAAGAGATATATTCGAACATCCTTGAATGGAGCATGCAGAACAAGGGAGGGATGGTGCGTATGTACTGACTAATCTCTGTTATGACATATCTCCATGACTGAGAGGATCGTGCCCCTGGGTTTAGAAGAAGAGGGTTGTCCACAAATGACATGTGAGTAGAGCCATCGTGTTCCTGTATATACTCGGTAGATATATGTACCGGCTGGAATAGGTAAATTTAATCCTTTGCCATCACTCATTTCACTTTCCTGAATTCTGTGGTATTTCCAAAGAGTGACTGCTTTTCTTCTGGGTTAAGTAGAAATCTTTGCTTAAGTCAAAACCACTTACTTTAAAAACATTCAGCAACGTTGGGATCTTTTGCCCTGGGAGTATTTCTCGTGTTTTTCAAAGTCAATGAATTGTCACTTGACCCTAATGGACACTTAGAGAACATTGAATCAAGGATTAATCTGAGTGGATAAACGAAGCTTTTATCCAAAATCCACTGATTTATTGAGACAGGCTTGGGAAGTCATAACAGTGTCACTTTATTGAGCATTGATAACTATAGCAACAAAGTATACAGAATTTTTAAAAACTGGGATTTAATTATGCTATTTAAAATTATTTGTGGTCCCTTTTAAGGGGGTTGAGAATATTTGCATAGAAGAGTTACTCCAGTTAAAATTCAATAAGGTGTGAAATTGCTATGATGTGAGAACATTCTTGAAAATTTAAGAAATGCCGTCAGCTTCTTAGATGTGTAGTGCTTAGTTTGGTGTCAGGAAGTAACTGACTAAATAGCTAAATTCTGTCCTTTTCATTTAGATATTTTGCCATTATGTATCTCTCTTACTTAAAAAAAATTTTCCATCATTGGTTTGATATTAAAAATTCAGTGTTACCTAGCTGAAATTGACAAGGAGAGATGTTCATAGTCTTAAGTAGTCTTGAGATGCCAGATGCACTTTTCCTTTTAGGGCCCAGTTCATTTTGGTACTCATTCAAATGTGTCCTCCAGGTAGGCTCTCCAGGTGGTCATGGAAAGAGGACTGTTCATTGCTTCTTATCTGGAAGGCACAGATATTAGAATCTAGTTAGAACCTAATCTGGGTATTATCCAGTTGCTTTTGAATGAGATCTTATTCTTATGCCAGCTAGGTTCACAGCATGTCTAAGTCCAAATTTTTCAAAATATATTACAATTTTCCAGATTCTCCTTCCAGAGAAAGGAACTTAACTGAAGAGTTTAAATACCTGCTATTATATACCTAAAGGAGTATGGCTGTGTAATGGGTGGTTTGGGAACAGAAGAAATTATTAAGAATATCTAACTCAGATTTCCAAATCCAAATACATAGACTTAGGCACACGATATTGAAAATTGTAAACAATAAGTAAAGCAAGACAGAATAAAAATGCCAGCATTTTCACCTCTCTCTCAGCTAAGAAAGCTTCTTCCATGTTAGTAAAGGGACTTGTGTTTCCCAGAAATGATTCATCTGTGTTCTAGACCCAGCGTCTCGATGCCCAGCGGCCCACATAAAATATTGAATGGACAACAAGACTGACCATGCCAGCTGCCTTTTATAAGAAAAGACCAGTGAAGAGAAAACAACGTTTGAGAAGACTCCATCCACTTAAGGTAAGTCATGTGTGGGAGAGACCAAGGAAAAAGGGTGGATATATTTCGAGAACAAGGGAAGCATTTTTTCAAAAATAGTTTTTTCTTTATAGGTAAAGTATGTTGGTTAAGTCTCTGTTATTTAGAGTCAGATTACCAAAGTTCAAAGCCTTGCTTAGCCATTATGTGGCTATGGGCACGATCATTCATTCATTCATTTATTCTGAGAACTTTCTTTGTGCCAGTCACTGAACAAGAGAGATGAGATCTCTGCCCCCTGGAGCTTACGTTCTAGTGAGGGAAACAGAAAAACAAATAAATAAACATACATGCAAATGAAATAAGATAATTTTAGATCCTGAGGAAAGAAGAAAATCATACAGAGAATCATTGGCAGGGGAAACTGGGGCTGCATAAAAGTAATATGTACATTGAGATGCTGACCTAAATGGAGTGAGCGTACCCAGATCAGAGGAACAGATTTTTAGGCAGAGGAAACAGCAAATGCAAAGGATGCATTCTGGTGAGCCTTGCAGGCAGGTTAAGCTGTTTAGGCTTCCTCTGGTAAACCGGGAAGTCCTTGAAGGATTTAAGTAGGGGAATGATGTGATCTGAGCTGCACTGTTGGAAGAGAACCCTCACTCATGTCCTCATCAAGGATAACACAGAAGGAGCACCAGACCACGCCCTTTTCAGAGAGCAGGGAACTCAAAGGAAACTGCCCACACAAGGTCGGCCTTCAAGGTGGATGGCTGAGTACGGTTGCTGTGGTTTCTGCCGGTGGTGGTGGAATGAGGGCAGGGAAGTCATGGCTTCATAGTAAGCCAATTAATGAAATAAGGACACATCTTTGACAGCGCCCCTGCATTGGACTTGAATCAGGCTTTTCTGATGTGGCTGATTCTGCTGGTATTCATGTTCAGTGCTTAGTGGAGTGAACCAGGAGCTTTCCGGAAAGACTCTTCCCACTTCAGGAAAGCCTTGTGTAGGGGAGGCCAAGGGGAAAGTGTGGGCATATTTGGGGAACCAAGCAAACACCTTTATATAAAGTCTGGTGGTTAATCCTCTGCTATTTAGAGTCAGATTACTAGGGTTCAAGCTCTTGGGTTTGAACACTAAAACATCTTGGGTTTATAGAATCTCTTTGAACCTTTCCTTTTCTCCATGCTGTGTGCGTGATAAAAGGATTTACCTCAAGAAATATTAAGGATGAAACAAAGCGATGAATATAAATTATTCACACAGTGGCTGGCATCCAGCACATAGTAAGAGCTCAATAAATGTGACCAGCAATTATTATTATTATGTAATACTCATTGTCTCAGCACTTATTGGCCTCATCCTTATTGAATTCTGTCATGCAGACATGGCAGAGAATCTCATAATGGCCTCCCACATTTCTCTCCTTTTCTGGGATGCCTGACCCCACCCTCCTCAGGCAACTCCTTTGTCTCCAGATTTTACCAAGGACCCAGGGACAGACATTCTTAGTGTCGCAATAATCACAGCAGCTACTACCACGAACAGAGGTTGGATCAAAGCCTTCCATACATTACCTCAATTGTTAGAACATTCCTAATATATTCCATTTCACGTGTAGGAAATCAAGGCTCAGAAGGGCAAGTGACCCTTGTAGGGTCACTCGGTCAGTAAGAGGCTGAGCTGGGATTCAGACTCAGGTCTGTTTGAGCCTGATAATCCTTAAAACACAAAAAATCAAAGCATCCATTTTGGCCGCCCCCCTCCCCCAAAGCACTCTACTTTAAAAATAAAGGACTCTATGTTAAGAGGTCACTGTGATTAGACCCAGTGCAAGGAGAGCTTGAGATTTCCAAGGAGCCTCCTTGAGTCAGTTCAGTGTCCAAAAAATGTCCTTTAAATTCAAGGGAGCCTCTGTCCCCACCAGGCCAGTGGCCAGTGGCCAGTGGCAACACAATATGATGGTGTTGCTTTGACTATGGCCATGTGGTGGTGAGGAAGCCCCTGATCCACTTCCGGCCTCTTTGTCCTGTTTAGTGCTCCCCCCGGGGGCCTCTCACAGGCAGCCTGGCTGGTCTTGACTCTGAGGTGAAGGAGTAAACATTTGGGGGCTCTTTATTAGTTTATTTCAGAAGATGGAGCCTGTTTGTCCCTGGGACCCATCCCTGTTTTATGGCTGCCAGCCCTTCTTGACAAATTCTGACTGAAGAGAAAACCGCTTTCTACAGCGGATCATTAAAACACCACCATAAACCCAGGGCCATAAAATATTATTTGCCTGGCATAAAGGGGGGAGGGGGAGGAGGTAGGTTTTCCCAGAATGTCAACCGAGGCCTTGCTTTCTCCCACTGGGAAAGGCGGCACAGGGATGAGATGTTCATAAATTCCTTATCTTGCGCTCTGTTTTGTGAAATAACCCTGTTGGGAGAGCAGCCAAAAATATTGATTTATTTGTTCCACAGACTCAAAAGCATTTTTAATGAGCAGAGCATGGTGATGCCTTACCAGTGTGTCTGCAGATGACTCAATCTGAGTACATACACCCCAATGCACATACAGTTGTAAGGGGAAAGCTGGAGTTCCACAAACTGGAGTTCTGTGGGACAAGGACCTTTGAAGACAGAGGCATTGACTTCCTCCTTTGCACTGTCTGCTCATCACCCAGCCAAATCAACCAACACCCATAGTGGGACTTGCTCTTGCAACTGAGCCTGGCTTTCCAGAGCAGCACCCTCGACTGAAGGCTCAAAGTACATTTCCAGTTGGTTCCTCCTGAGATTTTCCTCTGGAAATAATCCTTTCATCCATGCATGCATTCATGTGGTCATTCAACAAATATTGAGTACCTACTAAGTGCCAGGCACTGGGGTTACAAGCCATGGAAACACTGTTGCAGAGCTCTTTGCATCCTCATGGGGTATAATTTCAGCACACCCCTTATTAATACCATGAGATGAAATTCACAATCCTTTGTCTGAAGTCCTTGGGGCCAGATAGGTTTGTCGGAAATTTTGGAATTTGTTTGAAAGATAAAATAGGGCATATGATTTATTTAGTTTACAAACAGCCCCAGTGAGGTCTGGGGAAGTACCCAGTAACCCAACACCATTCATATTTCTTCTGTGAAAAGTATGGACATTCACTCCAACTGAGATAAATTAAGACTATAAATGGTCTTGTCATGTCAGGTCTAGTTTTGCCACCAACGGAACTTAAAAACCTCTGTTTTCAGAACTGCTTTTAACAGAAGAGCAGGTACTGAGTGCTCAGTACCTGCCTGCCTGAACCACCCTAAGTGCTCCATGACCGTTACTGTGCATTCTCACCACCCCTGATTTTCAAGGTCATCCTTTCCATTTTCACTGCAGCCCTACCAGGTAGTCATTATATTTCTGGGGTTTTTTTGTTGTGTGATAGATGATTATATGCCTGTTTTTTATTTGTTTGTTTGTTAGTTATTGTTGTATGTGTGTGTTTAAAGAGGATTCTAAAGGCTAGAGAGCCTAAATGACTTGATCAAGATTTCACAGCTAGAAAGTGGCAGAAAGGGGATTGAAACTCCAGACGTCGGAGTTCTCCCCTTTAACCACTACCAAAAAACACCTTCCACTAGAGGAAAGACAGCAAAGCAGGAAATAAAACGTTGGGGCTTTGTCTACACAAACAAGCAAAGGTAATTGGAGAGCAACAGGAAATTATCCAGATAATTCAGAATATAGCAATTCAGAAAAAGGGGTGGGGTGGGGGGAGGAGGTTGTGGTTGGGTAGCCAGTGTTTCTGGACTGGCTCTATGGGTCGAGCAAATTCTTACACTAACAGCCTTTTCCTTCCTGGCAATTGGATCATCTAAGCTTACTGCCTGTGGGCACCCAGGTGCCCAGTGGCTTCAGCACCCTTTGGGAACTGCTGCATTCTTAGCCAACTCATTTCCTGCCACCTCTCAGTGCCTCGGCATGCGGTTGAGGAATGGGCGCCAAAAGGCATCACTGAGGTGCCTGCCCAGAGGCACATGTGCTTCCCTATCCAGAACAATCTCAGGCTGCAGTGGCTAGGCAAAAACAGAGTGGAGAGAGGAAACCGCGGAAGGGCGATGCGCCAGGCAGCGACCCCTCTTGCTTAGACCCTTACCTCCCATGGGCAAATCTCAAACTAGACTGGAAAACTCGGAAATGCCCACAGGTCGTTAAGTGGTCAAGGTCTCGAGGGGGTGAGGGGAAAGTGGACTTAGGAGGTGAAGGAGAGATGTCCCCAGGGGATCTGATAGCCTTCGGCTCCTCCTCTCTGAGGCTGCCTGTGCCCCTGGAGAAAGAAAGCAAGCCCCGCGGGCGCAAGGACATCTCATGCAGTTCATGGAAAGCCAACACTTGCCATTTGGGTACGACCGGCAAAGGAAGCCAGGGCTGGTGGAGAGGTCCAGTCAGCTGGGACAAAGACGGACCAGGAAAGGGTTCCGAAAGGTGGGACAGCGTCGCCAGAACCTCTCCCTGCGCATGCTTGGGTGGTCAGCCAGAGGTAGGATTGGGGTACGGAAGTAATAAAACAGAACAAAACAGCCACCACCCTGAAGTACCCAGGCTACGGATTTTGCACCTAAGGTCAAGTGCATGCCAGATGAATGTCGAAAAGTGTGTGTGTGTGTGTGTGTGTGTGTGTGTGTGTGTGTGTGTGTGTGTGTGTGTGTGTGTCTTCCACCTGGAATGTCTGGAGAATGGGGGAGAATCGAGAACAAGAATTGCGCTCCAGTGTGAGGCACTGCTTGGCGGGCTGCAGGTGGGGGGCACACATCCACCAACCCCGCCCCGCCTGAGTCCCAACAACCACAGGTGTCTGGAATTGTCTAGAATTTCCATTGCCAGAAACCCGGTTTTGCCGAACTTCGCAGGCTTCTCACCTGAGGGCACCCGACAAGATCCACCCGGCCAGATCTCGCGTCGCATCTGGATACGCTGGGTCTCAGTCAGATGCTGAATCACGCACCCCAGTACCCAAATCTACACTGGGGGTTTTGCAGGATGTGTGCGCCTACTCTATTCTCCAGCCCAAGGGCTTAGGGACCCTCCCCCAGGGGTAAGAACGGGGAGGAGGTCCTCCAAGATGTTCCGTGCCAGAGCAGCAGTCCTGGTGCAGCTGCAGTGGAAGCGGCCTGGGACAGGCGAGCCAAGGGATCCAGCCTGGAAAGTTGGGGTTCAGCCTCCCGCGGGTCCGCGGCTTTGGAAGGAGCGCAGAGCCGGGCGGCGTGAAAGCAGCGGCTGCGGAGTGGACCTCTCTCTTTGGGCAGATGCCTGGGGGGATGGGGAGCCGAGAGAAGGGGGCTCGAGCAGGGAGTGTATCCCGCCCCCCTACACCCCAGCCCGTGGTACGGCTTTAAAATCCTGCGAAGTTTGTCATAGGCCGGACTCAATACGCATGCGCATAGGCAAAGTGGAGTTTTGTGTTTTTTTCTCCCCCCCCTTTCCCTCTCTTTTCAGCAGCCTTTGGTTCTGCAACTTAATTTTTTTTTTTCTCTGAGAACACTCGGGGAAAGAGGATTCCGGAGAGAGGGAGGGAGGGAGGGAG